TTTCGTTATCTTCTCTTTAATTATAATCCAATCTTATTAACACAATTTGATCGCACGGCAATCGAAATTTGAACATATGTATACATATAAAAGATTCCAACTAAACCTCGATAAAAGTATGCTCCAAGAATTTGTTATATGATTAACTCTATTTATCACGTCATTTATAAAAAAATGTCCCATTAAATGTTGTACCAAAATTTTTACCGTCGCTCTTTTGGGGAAGACAGAAATTTTAGGATAATTAATCGTAGCACGACATTGATGTACTTGGTTATGTAAGAAGAAAACCATAGTGTATATGAGCATGGTGTGACATTTACGCACTTGATTACGCAAGGAGTTTTGGGATTTATTAAGATAACCCTATTTTTTTAAACCATTGGCGGGCGAGGTAAAAAGGGTCAAAGGGGACAAGCCTAGAAGCTAAGGGCCTCACTCCAATTATGATGAATTTGAAGGGCATATTGGAAAAACTCGTTCTCTATAAAGCAATCTGTCACCACAAAGAAAGGCTAAGTGTCCACTCAAGCTTTTGAACGCATAAACTCCTCTCGAATTCCAAATCCCCAAGAGCTTCTTCAGAGCTTTCGTTTCATCTCCAGAGGATTCATTCGAAGCACCAAAGGGAAGAAGAAGAAGAAGAGATGGCGATTTTGAGGAGCACCAAGATCAACGGCGGAGGTGCGTCACGGAGGAGTTCGAGCCGTCTGATCCCGAAGAGAGGGCAAGTGAAGGTGGGGATTGTGGTGGGGTTGGCCCATTCTTTCGCTTCCATCTTCTCTCTCAATCTCAGAAACAGACGTGCTCGGTTTTCTCAGTGACCATGCTGCACTCCCCATGAGTTTTTTGCTTCTTCTTTCTCAGTCCGAGAGAAATAGGGAGAAAGAGATGGGTGTTGTGTTGCTGTGTTTCTATGTTTGTCTTTCTGGAAATCTTAGGAAACAACGGTTTGGTTTGTAATTAAGAGGTTTTTCTTTTTAATTTTGTACACCTTTTTGTAGAATGAAATATAATTTTGCAGATGATTTATAATTCTCTTCTTCTCTATTTCTCTCATATGTTACACTGACGATAGGTGTATTAAGATCGTTATATAAAATTGGTATACAAAATTACGTGACAAATCGTGAGCCGACGGATAATGGGGCCAATTTCAACCCTCAACTGCAGTTTTTCACGTCATTTAGCTTATCAATTTTTAAGTCAAATTTAGTTAACGGGAAGAAAACTAAATGGCAATACGATGGGAACCAAGGGTGAGCAAGAGCCACCGTTGCAGGTGGTACAATTCTACGAATACGAAATGAGTCCATCTAGCATTGTAAGGAGACGCTAATTATGATCTTCAATGATATGGCAAGGTTTCGACCATGGATTTGTGCCAATTTCGAACTTTTGATTCGATGAGTATATTGTATAATCATAACTCAAAACGAGTGTCCTTAGAATAAATGTGATAGCTATCCCATTTGCTAGAAAAAAGAGATCCGGATGGGCTAAAGGCGGCATTCACATTTGCAGGAACATTCTTAATTTACCTAAATTTCATCGTCTCTCTTTTTTCCATGGTCCAGCTTGGTGCCTTTGTGCACAAATCAATCATGCTCTTTTTTCTCGATGGGGCGTACAAGAAGTCGAAAGAAATGATTTGACAAAACAGATTGATACATTAGTATGTGCTGATGCATTAGTATGCCTTTAGGGGAACCCTGCAGATTTAGGGGCAATTATAGGACTCAAATTTCAAAAATTACACGTGATTAGATCCAAATCTAATTCCCACTAGACACAATCCGACACAAACTGCAAAGGTGTCCCTATCAAATATATTCAATCAAGCATTCCATCCAAGGTTCATTGAACATGTTTTCCATTTTGTTCAATCAGTGTTCACAGCCACCAATAATTTATACAATTTAGCTCAGCGCATGTCTAATTTCTTATTTTATTTCATAATGTTAATTGATGATTATGTCCTTTACTTTACTAATAAAGAAAGAGAACGGCAATAACTTTGAGATCTTCATATTCTTTAATTAATTCAATGTTAAGTAGGTTAAATGGAGTGTCACATGGATCATGTGAAAAGAAGAATGATGCTGATTCTTTACCTACAATTATCATATTAGGATGGAGTGTTGCGTTCACATAATCTCATACAATTTGAGAATTTCTTTAGTGTCTCTATAATATTCCACAACGCTTCTTTTCTGAATTTATATATATATATATATAAATTTTTTTATGTACATGCGATTTTTCCTCATCGATTAACTTAAGTTTTTGGGTTAATTTTGTATGTGAGATATCATATCGTTTATCTATTGATGTGTGTGTATAAATATATATAGTCTCGAGTTGGACTCTCTAACCCTGTTACGCATGAATATATATAATTCCTTATTAGTAGTAGAATTTGCATAATCGTCCTCAACATAATTAAATGTGCCACATAATAATGTTGTCACCACATGATGAAACATACGTAAGACAGAATAAGACATGACGAAGACATCTAAATGAGAATGAATAAGAGAAATTGACTCGTATTTGACTGGATTGCATAAGACATAAGAAGACATGTTTCAATCTTTTTAAGACATCGTTCATCTCGACCCAAGAACAGCAAAATAGAAAAAAGTCAGTGTTCACATTTGGTTTGGCTTTTAGCCAACCAAAGTATTCTTTTTCGAAATTCCCTCAACACAAACACGAAATTTAAATAATAAAGAATTTTTTAGTGGGATGAAATCATCATAGTTTGGTCCGTTTTGGAGACCCCATATCGATTATGACTTCTATCAACCGGTCAAAAACTTTCGAAACAAAAACCCAAGTGTTCTTGAAGCACATCGCAAGACAAAGAAGCATATCTGATAAATTTTATGGAACAAAAGCAATAAATGAATGAATGAATGAATGAATAAAAGTAATAAAGCTAAAGAGAGAGAGATTCATGGCCCGTCACCCAATACTTTACCTAGTAAATTCAGATCATTTTATGTATAAAAATCTGCTCTGTTCGGCATATTTAAAAAGTACTGGTAATATGATATTGTTTTCGACAATCCAAGACGATGAAATAATTAAAATGAACGAAATTTGAAAATTAAGGAATTAAAACGATGGGCCGAAAAGTTGGGGTACAAGATGATGAACGAATAAAGACAAATAGAGGTGACACCACATAGAATGAGGCCAATAAGTCACTTCCGATGCCTTGTTCAGGAGGGGGTGCACCTGCCCCGTCGAAGGCGCTTTCTCTGATGAACAATCACCCACGTGAATACATACGAATTCATTGGAGACACGAATCGTTCCGTAATGCGTGCAAAAGTGGCATCATTCACGGTCTCCACGTAATCAAATTCATGTGACAAAATCACCCCTCTCCTCGATATCTTCTCTTAACCTACAATCCAATCTTATTAGCACAATTCGATCGCATGCCAATTGAAATTTGAACATATGCATATATATAAAACATTCCAACTAAACATCGATAAAAGTATGCTCCAAAAATTTGTTGTATGATTAACTATATTTATCACGTCATTTATAAAATATGCCCATTAAATGTTGTACCAAGACTTTTTATCGTTGCTTTTTCGGGGAAGACGAAAGCTTAAGGATAGTTAATCGTAGCCAGACATTGACGTACTTGGTTATGTAAGCAGAAAACCATAGTGTGACATTTACGCACTTGATTACGTAAGGAGTTTTGGGATTTATTAAGATAACCCTATTTTTTTAAACCATTGGGTGCGTATGGAATGCATTCCGGAGTAAAAATTCTGTTCCGGAATGCATTCCGGAACAGAATGGCGTTTGTTAAAAAATTTCCGGAATGCATTCTGAGCGATTTTTGCATTCCTAAATAAAAATGTGTTTGTTAAAAATACTGATTCCGAATGCATTCTCGATTCCGAATGCATTTTTGATTCGGAATGAGTTTTTGGCAAGAAAAAGAGAAGCTACTTTTTGTAGTTTCTTGATTCCGGAATGCATTCTTTCTATTTTCTCACAATTTTTTTTTTTCAGAAAATGCATAAAAATTGAAAAATTCTAGAAAAATTCATAAAAATTTCCAGAAAATAAAAAAAAGTCAGATTTTGGGAAAATATGAAATTTGGTGAATTTTTTTTTTTAAAAATAAAAAAAATAAAAAATTTCAAAACTTCACAGAATAGCTTAAAACACATGTACCACCCACTTTGAATGAAATTTAAATTTTTGAGGTGCCAAAAAAATCAAAAATTTCAAAACTTCACAAAATAGCTTAAAATACCTGTGGCCACCTACTTTGAATGAAATTTAAATTTTTTGAGGTGCAAAAAAAAAAAAAAATAAAAAAAATAAAAATTTCAAAACTTCACAAAATGGCTTAAAATACATGCGCCACCACTTTGAAATAAATTTAAATTTTTTGAGGTCTTCAAAAAATAAAAATAAAAAAAAAAAATAAAAAACTTCACAGAATGGCTTAGAATATCTGTAGCCACCCACTTTGAGTAAAATTTACATTTTTTGAGGTGCCCAAAAAAATAAAAAAAATAAAAAATTTAAAACTTCACAAAATGGCTTAGAATACCTGTGGCCACCCACTTTGAGTGAAATTTAAATTTTTTTAGGTGCCCAAAAAAAATTTTAAAAAAATAAAAAATTTCAAAACTTTACAGAATGGCTTATAATACATGTGGCCACTCACTTTGAGTAAAATTTAAATTTTTTTAGGTGAAAAAAAAATCAATAAATCAAAACAGATTTCTGTTCCAGAAATCAATTTCTGTTTCAGAATTAGTCATATTTTACCAAACAGATTTCTCTTCCAGAAATCAATTTCTGGCAAGAATTTGATTTCTGGAGCAGAATGGTTACCATTCGCACCCTAGGGGCCTCACTCCAATTATGATGAATTTGAAAGGCATATTGGAAAAACTCGTTCTCTATATAACAATCTGTCACCACCAAGAAAGGCTAGGTGTCCACGACAGCTTTTCAGCACATAAAACTCCTCTCGAACTCCAAATCCCCAAGAGCTTCTTCAGAGCTTTCGTTTCATCTCCAGAGGATTCATTCGAAGCACCAAGAGGAAGAAGAAGAAGAAGAAGAGATGGCGATTTTGAGGAGCAGCAAGATCAACGGCGGAGGTGCGTCACGGAGGAGTTCGAGCCGTCTGATCCCGAAGAGAGGGCAAGTGAAGGTGGGGATTGTGGTGGGGTTGGCCCATTCTTTCGCTTCCATCTTCTCTCTCAATCTCAGAAACAGACGTGCTCAGTTTTCTCAGTGACCATGCTGCACTCCCCATGAGTTTTTTGCTTCTTCTTTCTCAGTCCGAGAGAAAGAGGGAGAAAGAGATGGGTGTTGTGTTGCTGTGTTTCTATGTTTGTCTTTCTGGAAATCTTAGGAAACAACGGTTTGGTTTGTAATTAAGAGGTTTTTCTTTTTAATTTTGTACACCTTTTTGTAGAATGAAATATAATTTTGCAGATGATTTATAATTCTCTTCTTCTCTATTTCTCTCATATGTTACACTGACGATAGGTGTATTAAGATCGTTATATAAAATTGGTATACAAAATTACGTGACAAATCGTGAGCCGACGGATAATGGGGCCAATTTCAACCCTCAACTGCAGTTTTTCACGTCATTTAGCTTATCAATTTTTAAGTCAAATTTAGTTAACGGGAAGAAAACTAAATGGCAATACGATGGGAACCAAGGGTGAGCAAGGGCCACCGTTGCTGGTGGTACCATTCTGCGAATACGAAATGAGTCCATCTAGCATTGTAAGGAGATGCTAATTATGACCTTCAATGCTATGGCAAGGTTTTGACGATGGATTTGTGACAATTCCGAACTTTTTATTTGATGAGTATATTGTATAATCATAACTCAAAACGAACGTCCTTCAAATAAATGTGATAGCTATCCCATTCGCTAGAATAAAGAGATCTGGACGGGCTAAAGGCGGCATTCACATTTGCAGGAACATTCTTAATTTACCTAAACTTCATCGTCTCTCTTTTTCCCATGGTCCAGCTTGGTGCCTTTGTGCACAAATCAATCATGCTCTTTTTTCTCGATGGGGCGTACAAGAAGTCGAAAGAAATGATTTGACATTACAGATTGATACATTAGTATGTGCTGATATATTAGTATGCCTTTAGGGGAACCCCGCAGATTTAGGGGCAATTATAGGGATCAAATTTGAAAAATTACACGTGATTCGATCCGAATCTAATTCCCACTGGACACAGTCCGACACAAACTGCAAAGGTGTCCCTATCAAATATATTCAATCAAGCATTCCATCTAAGGTTCATCGAACATGTTTTCCTTTTTGTTCAATCAGTGTTCACAGCCACCAATAATTTATACAATTTAGCTTAAAGCATGTCTAATTTCTTTTTTCATAATGTTAATTGATGATTATGTCCTTTATTTTACTAATAAAGAAAGAGAACGGCAACAACTTTGAGATCTTCATATTCTTTAATTAATTCAATGTTAATTAGGTTAAGTAGAGTGTCACATGGATCATGTGAAAAGAAGAATGATGCTGATTCTTTTCCTACAATTATCATATTAGGATGGAGTGTTGCGTTCACATAATCTCATACAATTTGAGAATTTTTTTAGTGCCCCTGTAATATTCCACAACGCTTCTTTTTGAATTTATATATATTTTTTATATACATGTGATTTTTCCTCATCGATTAGCTTAAGTTTTTTGGTTCATTTTGTATGTGAGATATCATATCGTTTATCTACTGATGTATATATATATATGGTCTCGAGTTGGACTTTCTAACCCTGTTGCGCATGAATATATATAATTCCTTACCAGTCGCAGAATTTGCCTAATCGTCCTCAACATAATTAAATGTGCCACATGATAATGTTGTCACCGCATGATGAAACCTACGGAAGACAGAATAAGACATGATGAAGACATCTAAATGAGAATGAATCAAAGAAGTTGACTCATATTTGACTGGATTGCGTAAGACATAAGAAGACATGTTTCAATCTTTTTAAGACATCGTTCATCTCGACCCAAGAACAGTAAAATAGAAAAAAGTCAGTGTTCACATTTGGTTTGGCTTTTAGCCAACCAAAGTATTCTTTTTCGAAATTCCCCCAACACAAATGCGAAATTTAAATAATAAAGAATTTTGTAGTGGGATGAAATCATCATAGTTTGGGCCGTCTTGGAGACCCCATATCGATTATGACTTCTATCAGCCGGTCAAAAACTTTCGAAACAAAAACCCAGTGTTCTTGAAGCACATCGCAAGACAGAGAAGCACATCTGATAAATTTTTATCGAACAAAAGCAATAAATAAATGAATGAATGAATAAAAGCAGGAAAAAAAGCACAAAAAACTCCAAATTTTGCCACCTGTGACACATTTATCTTGAACTTTTTTTTGTGACACCAAAAATCCCAAACTATGCTATTTATAACACATTTACCCCAATGTACTTTAGTCCATGGGTATTTTCGTCTTTTTTGCTTTTTCTTGTTTTTTTCCTTTCCGGTGAGGAGGGCCCTCGCCGGCGTCGAGCGAGGGTGGCCCTCGCCAGATCCGGCAAGGGCTGCCCTCACCGGATTCAGGCGAGGGCCCCCCTCACCGGATCTGGCGAGGGCCGCCCTCGCCCAGGCGAGGGAGGGCGGCCCTCACCTGAGTCGGGCGAGGGCCGCCCTCGCCGGATCTAGCGAGGGCCACCCTCACCCGACGCCGGCAAGGGCCGACCCTCGCCAGATTCTGCGAGGGCGGCCCTCGCCTGGGCGAGCAAGGGCGGTCATCGCTCGACTCAGGCGAGGGCCGCCATTGCCCGACTCAGGCAAGGGCCGCCCTCGCCCGACTCAGGGCGAGGATCGCCCTCCCTCGCTTGGGCGAGGCGGCCTTCGCCCGACACCGGCGAGGGCGGCCCTCATCGGATCTGGAGAGGGCCACCCTCGCTCGACGCCGGCGAGGGCCGCCCTCGCCGGAAAGGAAAAAAAAAGGGAAAAAAAAGAAAAAGAAAAAAAGACGAAAATTTCCATGGACTAAAGTACATTGGGGTAAATGTGTCACAAATAGCATAATTTGGAGTTTTTGATGTCATAAAAAAAATTCAGGGTAAATGTGTCACAGCTAGCAAAGTTTGGAGTTTTTTCCCATAAAAGTAATAAAGCTAAAGAGAGAGAGATTCCTAGCCCGTCACCCGATACTTTACCTAATAAATTCAGATTATTTTATGTATAAAAATCTGCTTTGTTCGGCATATTTAAAAAGTACTGCTAATATGATATTTTTTCCGACAATCCAAGACGATGAAATAATTAAAATGAACGAAATTTGAAAATTAAGGAATTAAAACGATGGGCCGAAAAGTTGGGGTACGAGATGATGAACGAATAAAGACAAATAGAGGTGACACCACATAGAATGAGGCCAATAAGTCACTTCCGATGCCTTGTCAGGAGGGGGTGCACCTGCCCCGTCGAAGGCCCTTTCTCTGATGAACAATCACCCACGTGAATACATACGAATTCATTGGAGACACGAATCGTTCCGTAACGCGTGCAAAAGTGGCATCATTCACGGTCTCCACGTAATCAAATTCATGTGACAAAATGACCTGTCCCCTCGATATCTTCTCTTTACCTACAATCCAATCTTATTAACACAATTTAATTGCACGGCAATCGAAATTTGAACATATGCATATATATAAAATATTCCAACTAAACCTCGATAAAAGTATGCTCCAAAAATTTGTTATATAATTAACTCTCTTTATCATGTCATTTATAAAATATGCCCATTAAACATTGTACCAAAACTTGTACCGTCGCTTTTTCGGGGAAGACGGAAACTTTAGGATAATTAATCGTAGCGGGACATTGACGTACATGGTTATGTAAGCAGAAAACCATAGTGTATATGAGCATAGTGTGACATTTACGCACTTGATTACGTAAGGATTTTTGGGATTTATTAAGATAACCCTATTTTTTTAAACCATTGGCGGGCGAGGTAAAAAGGGTCAAAGGAGACAAGTCTAGAAGCTAAGGGCCTCACTCCAATTATGATGAATTTGAAGGGCATATTGGAAAAACTCGTTCTCTATATAACAATCTGTCACCACCGAGAATGGCTAAGTGCCACTACAGCTTTTCAGCGCATAGACTCCTCTCAAACTCCAAATCCCAAAGAGCTTCCTCAGAGCTTTCATTGCATCTCCAGAGGATTCATTCGAAGCACCAAGAGGAAGAAGAAAAGCAAGAAGAAGAAGAGATGGCGATTTCGAGGAGTGGCAAGATCAACAGCAGAGGCGCGTCACGGAGGATTTCGAGCCGCCCGATCCCGAAGAGAGGGCGAGTGAAGGTAGGGATTGTGGTGGGGTTGGCCCATTCTTTCGCTTCCATCTTCTCTCTCAATCTCAGAAGCAGACGGACTCAGTTTTCTCAGTGACCATGCACTCGCCATAAGTTTTTTTGCTTCTTTCTCAGTTCGATCGAGAGAGACAGAGATGGATGTTGTGCTGCTGTGTTTCTTTGTTTGTCTTTCAGGAAGTCTTAGGAAACAAGGGTTTGGTCTTGTAATTAAGAGGTTTTTCTTTTTAATTTTGTCCACCTTTTTGTAGAAAGAAATTTAATTTTGCAGATGATTTATGGTTCTCTTCTTCTCTATTTCTCTCGTATGTTACACATCATAGGTGTATTAAGATCGGTATATAAACTGGTATACAAAGTTACGTGGCAGATCGTGAGCGGACAGACAATTTCAATTCTCAATTACAGTTTTCCACATCATTTGGCATATAAATTTCTAAGTCAAATTTAGTTAACGGGAAGAAAACAAAATGGCAATACGATGGGAACCAAGGGTGAGCGAGGACCACTATTGCTGGTGGTACGATTCTGCGAAGACGAAATGTTAATTATGACCTTCAATGCTATGGCAAGGTTTCGATGATGGATATGTGCCAAATCTGAATTTTTTATTTGATGAGTATACTGTATAATCATGACTCAAAGCGAACGTCCTCAGAATAAATGTGATAGCTACCCAGTTTACAAGAAAAAAGAGATCAGGAGGGGCTAAAGGCGGCATCCAATTTTGCAGGACCATTCTTAGTTTGCGAAAACTTTGTCGTCTCTCTTTTTCCAATGGTCCAGCTTGGTGCCCTTTGTACACATGCTCTTTTCTCGGCGGGGCATACAAGAAATCGAAAGAAATGATTTAACATCACAAATTGATACATTAGTATGTATTGATACATTAATATGCCTTTAGGGAAACTCTGCAGATTTAGGTGCAATTATAGGGCTCAAATTTCAAAAATTACACGTGATTAGATCCATCTAATTCCCACTAGACACAATCCCACACAAACTGCAAAGGTGTCCCTATTCAAATATATTCAATCAAGCATTCCACGTAAGGTTCATTGAACATGTTTTCCTTCTTGTTCAATCAGTGTTCACAACCACCAATAATTTATATAATCTAGGTTAGAGCATGTATAATTTCTTTTTTCATAATGTTTAATTGATGATTCTGTTCTTTATTCTACTAATAAGAAAGAGGACGGCAACAACTTTGAGATCTTCAGATTCTTTAATTAATTCAATGTTAATTAGGTTAAGTGGAGTGTCACATGGATCATGTGAAAAGAAGAATGATGCTGACTCTTTTCCTACAATTATCATATTAGGATGGAGTGTTGCGTTCACATAATCTCATACAATTTGAGAATTTCTTTAGTGTCTCTATAATATTCCACAACGCTTCTTTTCTGAATTATATATATATATGTATATATATTTATGTACAAGTGATTTTTCGTCATCGATTAACTTAAGTTTTTGGGTTGATTTTGTATGTGAGATATCATATCGTTTATCTATTGATGTGTGTGTGTGTGTGGTTTTGAGTTGGACTCTCTAACCCTGTTGCGCATAAATATATATAATTTCTTATCAGTCGTAGAATTTGCATAATCATCCTCAACATAATTAAATGTGCCACATAATAATGTTGTCACCACATGATGAAACCTACGTAAGACAGAATAAGACATGATGAAGACATCTAAATGAGAATGAATCAAAGAAGTTGACTCATATTTGACTGGATTGCGTAAGACATAAGAAGACATGTTTCAATCTTTTTAAGACATCGTTCATCTCGACCCTAGAACAGCAAAATAGAAAAAAAGTCAGTGTTCACATTTGGTTTGACTTTTAGCCAACCAAAGTATTCTTTTTCGAAATTCCCTCAACACAAACACGAAATTTAAATAATAAAGAATTTTGTAGTGGGATGAAATCATCATAGTTTGGTCCATCTTGGAGACTCCATATCGATTATGACTTCCATCAACCAGTCAAAAACTTTCGAAACAAAAACCCACGTGTTCTTGAAGCACATCGTAAGACAAAGAAGCATATCTGATAAATTTTTATCGAACAAAAGCAATAAATAAATAAACGAATGAATGAATAAAAGTAATAAAGCTAAAGAGAGATATATTTCTGGCCCATCATCAATACTTTACCTAATCAGATTATTTTATGTACAAAAGTCTGCTTTATTCGGCAGATGAAAAAAGTACTGCAGTCACATAATAAAGTTTAGGCTCCTTAAATTACAAAAAATAAAAAAAATATTAAGTTATAAGTATTTTTATTTGTTCAATGCTGTTCTATTTAATTTGTAGAATATAAGATGACTTTATAATCATGTTCAAGATTAAATTTTATACAACGTAAAAATGAATTTCTTATTTAATCGATCATGCTAGAAAATCTCTAATTAATTCGAGCACATATCACGTGAGCCGGTAATTAAACTAGCTATGTCAAAAGATAGAAATCTATTAGAAAGTTATGTACAAACCTTTATCAGGTATCGCATCATAATAGAGCAACTCGAGATCACATCATATATCTACTGTTGCATTAATTAGCTTAAAGTATCGCTTTTACGTTGTGGATTATGTAAGCTTTTTGGACCAAATATTGAATATACATAATTATTAGTTTTTGAAATTCTCATTCCAAGTAGTATGAGTTTTTGAAATAAGATTCACTTTCTATTATTTGGATGACAAGACATTTTGGCATTTTTGGAGAAATATTTATCAAAGTAGACTAGGCCAAAAGCTGAGGGCCTCACTCCAATTATGATGAATTTGAAGGGCATATTGGAAAAACTCGTTTCCTATATAACAATCCGTCACCACAAAGAAAGGCTAAAGTTTTCACTCAAGCTTTTCAACACATAAACTCCTCTCAAACTCCAAATCCCAAAGAGCTTCTTCAGAGCTTTCGTTGCATCATCTCCAGAGGATTCGTTCGAAGCACCACGAGGAAGAAAGAAGAAGAAGAAGAGATGGCGATTTCGAGGAGTGACAAGATGAACGACGGAGGCATGTCGCGGAGGAGTTCAAGCCGTCTGATCCCGAAGAGAGGGCAAGTGAAGGTGGGGATTGTGGTGGGGCTGGCTCATTCTTTCGCTTTCATCTTTTCTCTCAATCTCAGAAGCAGACGTGCTCAATTTTCTCAATGACCAAGCGTTCGCCATAAGTTTTTTTGCTTCTTCTTTCTCAGTCCGAGAGAGATAGAGAGAGAAAAGACAGGTGTTTTGTTGCTGTGTTTCTTTGTTTGTCTTTCTGGAAGTCTTAGGAAACAACGGTTTGGTCTTGTAATTAAGATGTTTTTCTTTTTAATTTTGTACACATTTTTGTAGAATGAAATATAATTTTGCAGATGAGTTACGGTTCTCTTCTTCTCTATTTCCCTCGTATGTTACACTGACAATAGGTGTATAAAATAGGTATATACAAAGTTACGTGACAGATCGTGAGCGGACGAATAAGTGGGCCAATTTCAACACTCAATTACAATTTGCATATCATTTAACATGTCAAAACATAACATTTCTCACAGGAAAAAAAAAAGAAAACAAAATGGCGATACGGTGGAATCAAGGGTGAGCGAGGGCCACCATTGCCGGTTGTACGATTCTACAAATACAGAATGAGTCCATCTAGCATTGTAAGGATACTTAATTATGACCTTCAATGCAAAGGCAAGGTTTCGAAAGGATAACCTTCAATGCTATGGCAAGGTTTTGATGATGGATTTGATCCAATTTCAAAAGCTTTTATTTAATGAGTAATATGGTATAGTTATGATTCAAAGCAAATGTTCTTCTAGCATCGCAATTCGCTAGAGAAAAGAGATCGAGACGGGTTGAAGGCTGCGTTCGCATTTGCAGGAACATTCTTAATTTTGCATGACTTTATGGTCTTTCTTTTTCCCATGGTGCAGCTTGTTGCCCTTTGTAACAAAATAATCATGCTATTAGAAAGAATGATTTGACATTACAAATCGATACATTAGTACGCCTTTAGGGAAACTCTGCAGGTTTAGGTGCAATTGTAGGGCTCAAATTTCAAAAATTATACGTGATTAGATCCATCTATTTCCCACCGGACACAATCCGACAGAAACTGCAAAGGTGTCCCTATCAAATATATTCAATCAAGCATTCCACGTAAGGTTCATTGAACATGTCTAATTTCTTATTTCATAATTTTTAATTGATGATTCTGCCCTTTACTTTTCTAATAAAGAAAAAGGACGGCAACAACTTTGAGATCTTCAGATTCTTTAATTAATTCAATGTGACTTAGGTTAGGCGGAGTGTCACATGAATCATCTGAAAAGAAGAATGATGCTGATTCTTTTCCTACAATTATCATATTAGAATGGAGGTTACGTTCACACACAATCTCGTCCAATTTGAGAATTTTTTAACGTCCTAAAGTATCACACATCGTTTGGGTTTATATTTTTTAATCTTTTAAGTTTACTTTTTAATACAGTTTAAAAGTCAGATTTTGTCGTTTATCTACGGTGTTTATATATTTTTCATATATAAACGGTTTCAAGTTGGACTATCTAACTCTGTTGCACGTGAATTTATATAATTCCTTTTCGAGGAATTTGCCTAATTGAGCTCACCATAATTAAATTTGCTATAATAATGATGTCACCATATAGTGAAACCTACTAAAGACAGAATTAAGACATGATGAAGACATCTCAATAATATTGAACCAAAGAAGATGACTCATATTTGACTGAATTGCGTAAGACACAAGAAGACGTGTTTCAATCTTGCGTTAGAATCGACATTTTTCAAAGACACTGTTCGCTCTAACCAAAGACAAAATAATATAAAAATAAAAAATCAGCGTTCACATTTGGTTTGGCTTTAAAGCCAACCAAAAGATATTATTTATGAGTTTCCCTCAATGTGAAAACAGAACAAAAATATTAAAGAAATAAGAAAAAAAATTGGTGGGTGAAATCATCATGGTTTGGTCCGCCTTGGAGACCCCATATCGATCATGACTTCTGTCAGCCGGTCAAAACTTTCCAACCGAAAACCCGCGTGTTCTTGAACGCACATGCCAAGACAGAGAAGCATATCTGATAGCTTTTAATAGAACAAAAGCAAAATAAATAAATAAATGAATGAATAAATAAAAGTAATGAAGCCACAAAGAGAGAAAGAGATTCTTGGCCCATCAGCTAATCGTTTAACTAACAAATTCAGATTGATTTATGTACAAAAATCTGCTTTATTATGCAGATTTCAAACTATTGCGGTCGCAGAATAAAGTTTATGCTACTTAAATTACACAAAATGAAAGAAATATTACATTATAAGTATTTTCATTTGTTTAATGTTGTTCAGTCTAATTTGTAGAATATATGATGCCATGATAATCACGTTCAAGATTAAACTTTATACGACGTGAAAAATGAATTTCTTATCTAATCGGTCATGCTATAAATTTTCTAATTAATTCGAGCACATACAATATGAACAGGTAATTAAACTAATTATGTCAAACGAAAGAAGTCTCTAGTAAGTTACTCACTAAACCTTATGAGGTATCCCGTCATAGTAGAGCAACTCGAGGGGAAAGTTATATATCAAATGTAGTGTTAATTAGCTTAATAAATCAATCTAAAAAGTATCGCTTTTATGTAGTGGGTTATGTAAGTTTTTTGGACCAAATATTGAATATCCATGCGATTAATTGTTTATACTTTTAGAGGTTCCATAAAAAAGAATTTCTCATTCCCAGTAGTATCCGTCTTTGAAATAAGATTAACTTTCCATTATTTGGATGACAAAATTTTTTTTGGCGTTCTTGGAGAAATATTTATTATCGACGATGGAGACCGGTGATTGGCGATCATCGTGGCTACTAGAGACAGTGACCAACGTCCGACAGCGTTAATCCCTCAATTACTACCAGAGAGAGAAACTGGTTTAACCTTTCGGATTTGATCTTTCAAATATGTATTAGAGTCGGGATTCCTCATTTGTATTCCAAGTTTATTTTGAGTATGCATGGCTTTCCGTTCTTCAGTCCCACTTTTCTTTTTTCAGATGATTTCATTCCGCTTTGCACGTAAGAAAGAGTGCTAAAGTGTCATCTCGCATCACATAACCGCTGGGTTTGAACCTTAAACTTATGGATTGATTTCTAGTGTTGGCAATGCAATGTTGACACTATCTAGCATCGGGTTATGACAACTGTGTGGAGGAATTTTACTCTAGTTGATTTGACGGGAAAAAAAAAAGTGGTGCCGTAACTTTTCGATCACCCATCCCTTAACATTCAAATGTCGTTCATTAGAGACTTGTTTGTCGGTAAAGCTATCGAGGCATTATTCAAAAAAGTCGCGCAGTAGCGAATTTATTTTTTCAATGATGCCACTCGCCATTTTCGAAAATTGCTAGAATAACTTGAATGAACGAAATGTGAAAATCAAGAAATTTAATGAGCGGCCGAAAAGTTATGGTACCGATAATGAATGAAACGCGTAATCACTCCCGATGCATTGTTGGGACTGGGGGACACCTGCCACGTCATGGCTCGTTTCCTGATAAGCTAAACACCCACGTGAAAAATATGAATTAATTAGAGACCTGAATTATTCCATTTTGCGTGTAAGCCGCAAAGGTAGGCATCTTTCATGATGTCCACTCACTTACATTCATGTGACGAAATCACCCCTCTCCTCGTTACTTTTTCTTAAATATATCCATTATATATATATATATATATATATATATATATATGTATGAACCTCGATAAAAATGATATTATCATTAAATTTACTATATTACGAACTCTATTCATTATATAATTTATACCACAAAATGCGACAGACACTTCATCAGGAAAGACAAAAACTATATTGTGTCATGACCCTTTTTTCGGATTTCCTCTTAAGAAAACGGGAAAAGAATGAATTTAGGGGTATGGTCTAATTAGGGCCAACCTGAAGCATTTAATTTGAACTTTATTAGGTTAGTATGAATCGATAATATATTGCCAAAGTGTGTGATATTTTCAATCCAACAATCTCGCTTTCTATCATCTTGACTATAGTGTGAGATTTACGTACTCGGTTAATCTATATGTATATTTTTATAATTAGTGATTTATTTAGACAACGTGAGAGTTGGTAGGCGAGGTCAAACATGTCAAAATAGACAAGTCCAAAAGCAAAGGGCCTCACTTCAATTATAATGAATACGAAGGGCATATTGGAAAAAGTCATTCCCTATATAACAACTCGTCACCGCGAGGAAAGGTACAGTTTTCGCTAAGGCTTTTTGACACATCAGCCCTCTCAAACTCCATATCCAAACGCTTCTTCGAAGCACCAAGAAGAAGAAGAAGAAGAAGAAGAAGAAGAAGAGAGATGGCTATTTCAAGGAGTGCCAAGATGAACGGTGGAGGCTTGTCGCGGAGGATCTCAAGCCGTCCGATCCCGAAGAGAGGGCAAGTGAAGAAGGGGATCGTGGTGTGGTTGGCTCATTCTTTTGCTTCCATCTTCTCCTTCCATCTCAGAAACATTTCTTTTCAGTTTTCTCAGTGACCAAACACTCGCCATAAGTTTCCTTCTTCTTCTTGCTCAGTCCGAGAGAGAGACGGGTGTTGGGTTGCTGTCTTTCCTGGTTCGTGTTTTTGGGAATCTTAGGAAGAACGGTTTTGGTCTTGTAAGTAAGCGGTTTCCCTTTTCCATTTTTGTAAAAATTTTGCAGAACGAAATATAATTTTGCAGATGATTTATGGCTCTCTGTGTGTTGAGCAACAAATTAGTGAACATTTATGTTTATTAGACAAGATCTCATCAACAAAGTAGGCGATATGATCTCAAGCTTTGCTGTAATGAGGAGTGGTGTTAAGATTCAAACTCAGAATTTTCTCAACTCAAGAGTTTTGAATGTTAACTCCACATGATCCAAATTCCATTTAAGTGGCTTTCTTGGGTTTATTGTTTCTGGAGAGGTGAAAAATAATGGGAAAAACCACCCGCCTGGGTGGCGCTGCTGGAAAGGGCACTCTTCCTCTCGCAAAAGGTTGAGTGTTCGAATCCCGAGCGTCGCAGGGTGACTTAACCGGTGCACGTGTGTGGTGGCTAGCACGTGTCGCCCCCAGGGTTTACCTCCCGGCTGTCGGCCGTGCGGGGGTTCCCTGGGTTACCAAAAAAAAAAAATAATAATAATGGGAAAATTGCACATCTGACAATCGCCTTGGCCCAAACTCATTATAGTTTCAATCCCTATTAAAATATATATTATCATGCATTCCACCTAAGGTTCATTGAATATGTTTTGCTTCTGGTTCAATCAGCGTCCACAACCACCGATGATTCATATAATCGAGGCTAAAGCATGTCTAAT